AACATGCCATACTATGCAATACTGCGGTGTGATATGTCATACTATGTAGTGGTACGCCAAGCTATGCCCTACTATGCCATGCTACGCAATGCTGCAGTGTAGTGTCATGGGCGGTGCCGCGCTATGCGCTGCCATGCTTTGAGTTGAACTACGATGTTCCATGTTGCATCGCGTTGCATCTCACTGTATCGCCCGCTGCGAAAATCGTCTCCGCAGCTGGAAGGGGCGCCCCGCCGCAGCCTTGGAAGGGTACCCTCGGTCGCGAGCGGGAACGCTTGAAGCGAGCCTCCTGGGCACAACGCCTCCCGAGCGAGCACGCACGGAAGAGCACGCGAGGCTCACGGGAAGGGCACAAGCTCGGGGCATCTGCAGTGAGAGAGCCGCCGAAGAGTCAGCAAGAGCCCTGCAGTGCAGCCTGGCGAGGGGAGCAGCGCCAGCGAGGCGATGGGTGCCGCAGGCGAGCGGACAGGCTGCGAAGCGAGCTTCCTGGCAAGATACTTGGCAAGAGCGCTGAACACGCGATGTTCGTCGCAGGTTGGCGGCGCGCACAGGGGGGGCAGGGAGAGGGGAGGGGGGAGGGCTCCTTCGAAGGAGGCTGCTCTTCTAAGAGGGCGCAGGCCCTGCATCTGCAGCCAAGGCCCGCGCCTTCTGAGAAGCACGGGTGCCTCTAAGAAGCATCCCCCCGCCCCCCCTGCCCATTGCGAGGCGGGGATTCATCCATATCCACCGCCTGGGAACCGAAGCCCTGGTGCCCCAGCGGGCGGTGGATCTGTGGATACATTTCAGCCCCCCGGGGCCCGAATGTGTCCACATCCACCGCCTGCCGAGGCTCCGAAAACTGACCCTCCAGGCGGTGGTCACGCACACATTCCCGCCCCGGATGCCTGCTCGCCGCCAGCGAGCGAGCACGCTCGGAGTGCGCGTCCTGGCAGCTCCGCCGGCCACGGCCGCGAGCGGGCCCGCTCGGAGCAGGCGCGTGCAGAGCAGAGCTGCCCACCACGGTGCGCCCCCGAGGCGAGCGGGCACGCACGGGAGGTGCACGCGAGGCCGCCGGGCGGGGCACGGAAGAACAGTCTGCTTGAGCGCGTTTCTTCATGTTCGGCGATGACGGGCGTCATGGGAGGGGGGGCGAGGGGGGGGGAATGACGTAACGCCCCCCCCCCGCCGTGTGGCTCCGGCACCGCAGTCGCGCCCGCGCGCGCGACGCGACGAGCGACGAGCGACGAGCGACGAGCGACGACGACGACGACGACAACGACGCGAGGAGCATGTAGGTGGCGATATGCCCCACTGCGCCTGTGTACACTGCCACAGCGCGCGTGTATACCACAGCGCCTGCGTACACCGCCACGATCGTGTGCAACGCAGCGCCTGTGTACACCATAGTGCTTGCGTACACTCAGAATCGGGGAGGCGTAAGGCTCGGCCCAGCATGAAAATGACGAGACCCAATCCGAAATTTGACGCGGGCTTCCGCTGCAGACATCCCACGAAAACCAGACCGTCAAAATCCAGGTTGCGCTCGTCAAAAAACTTAGGCAAACCCAAATTCTAGCTTACTCGAACCTTACGTTTCCCCGACAGAAGGTTGAAGCCCATCAAACAATAGACCAGGCCGCTGGCCAAGATAGTCGAAATCTCATTGCCGGGTCCACTGCTGCAAATTGCTGAGCGAAGCAGGGGGGCCAGGACTCATGGCCTGGCTCCCGGGGACACCAGCTCAGGGCACATATGTCTCGAGCGAGCTTCCCGATGCAGAGGGTAAGAACCCGCTGGGCAAGCATGGTTCAGGAGCAATGCCAGCAGCGCGATGTGCACCGCAAGCGAGTGGGCACGCTCGGAGCGAGCTTCCCAGCAAACTACCCGGCAACAGCGCAGGGCACGCGATGTGCCGAGTGAGCCTCTTGGCGTGCTTCCTGGCAGCACCGCTGGCAAGGCGGTGGTAGCCAGGAGCGAGCGGGCAGCTCCGGAGTGAATTTCCTGGCACGGGCGCTAGCAACGCGATGTGCGCTGGAAGCCAGCGGGCCTCGTGGTAACTTCGAAGAAGCGCGAATGCCTCTGCAGGGCACCGTCCACAGGAGAACAGGCGGTCAGCACTTGTCGGAGGGCTTCTGCCGACAATGTGCTGCGAAATATCATGGAATGTCGCGAAGGCCTTTCTGGCATATGCTGAAGCAAATCTGCAGGTATGATGAGATGATGCTGCCGTCTCCTGCTGGCATTGTGGGCCACATCCGAGACGTGACAAGGAATCAGAGCATGTTGGATGCCCTCGATGGTGAACGCCGTTGCAGATCATGGCTCATTGCATGTTGGAGGCCACATCAGCGGGACTCCAGGAGACTGTCTCTGGTCCTCCCGGGGCTCTCTTGGGGTTGCCCGGCCAGGCTTCACCAGGAGGTGCATGTCCCTCCTCCTCCTCGTCCTTTGCGCGGCCTCCATCCGTCCACATCCAGGGTCGCGGAAAGAGGAAGGGAGGCGGGAAGCAGCAAAACAGAACGACTTCGCTGGCAATCACGATGCGCGGGCACTCAAGAGTCGCTGGTACTCATGAGGCGTCGGCAATTATGAATACCTAGATGTCTCGCCAATCCCCTTCGACGGCCGTTCACCAGGGAGGAGGAGGAGGAGGAGGAGGAGGCGGAGGAGGAGGCGGAAGATGTTTGGGGATCGATTCGGGCTCGATAGGGTCGTCAGCAGCCCTGGACAGGATCGGATCGAGCCGGGTAGGGAGCAGGTTTCCCAGACCCCCGACGTCATGATTTGTCATGATGTCGACCCTCAAAAATCTTGACCTATTCCCCGGCACCGGTTTTTCATCGCATGGCATCGCCAGCGGCACGAAAGCTGTCTGAAGTATCACGTTTTGCGTCGCTTCTTCAGTCCGAGTCGTTTCTTGAAGGTAAGGGCCCCCAGAAGCTGAACATAATTACAAACCGACCGCCGTGACTTTCCCACGGCTCGAGGGGGTCTGGGTTTGGGAGGGGAGATTCTGGAGGTCCGGTGCCGTGGGGGCCTCTTGGGGGCCTCGTGGGGACTTCTTCGGGGCCTCTTGGGAGCCTCGTGGAAGCATCCTGGCACCTTCTGGGGGCCTCCTCAGGGGGTTCTTGGGGCCTCTTGAGGCATCTGGGAGGCTTGTGATGCTGAGCCTCAGCAGTGCGTCGGAGGAAAACACAAATCATCGACTTTCCCTAGGTTTTCATAGGCGTTCGGCTTCTCGTAGGCATCCTTGAGGGTCTTTCAAGGCCCTCTGAATCTGGGACTATCATGAGCGTCTCTTGAAGCGTCGTGAGGCTCTCCTATGCCGTCAGAGGCATCCTGGAAGCGTCTTGGGGACGACTCGAAGCTGTTTTGGGCCGCCTTGGCGGCTGTCTGATCGCGTTCGGAGGCGATGTGGGCCCCCCGAACACTGTGCACCGCCCCGGTCGTTGCCCCGCCCCTCCGCCCCCCCCGGCGGAGTCCCCCGTTATATGTTTATAGGTCTGTCTGTCAGCCTGCCTGTCTGTCTGCATGTATGTATGCATGTATGTGTGTGTTTGGATGTTTGTTTGTTTGCGCGTTTGGTTGTTGGTGTAAACATGTTTATGTATGTATGCATGTCTGTACGTACGTACATCTGTATGTATGTGTGCATGCATGCACGCATGCATGCATGCATGTATGTGTATGCATGCATGTATGCATGTATGTATGGATGGGCTGATGTATTGATGTATGCATGTATGTATGTATGGCTGCATGTACGTATGTATGTGTGTATGTGTGTATGTATGTATGTATGCATGCATGCATGTATGTATGTATGTGTGTATGGATATGCGTGTGTGTATGTATGCGCGTATGTATGTATATATGTGTATGCATGTATGTATGTTTGTATGCACGCATGTATGTGTGTACGTATGTTTGGATGTATGTATGTATGGCTGCATGTATGTGTGGTTGTATGTATGCCAGTATATACATGTATGTATGGGTGTGCATGCATGTATGTATGTATGTATGAATGAATGTATGTATGTAGTATATACGGTTGTATGTAGGTGTGTATGGAAGCGTGTATGCATTTATGCATCTACGCATGCATGCACGTCATAATGTATATGTGCCGGTCTGCCTGTCTGCATGAATGTATGTACGTATGCAGGCACGCATGCATGTATACATGCATGTATGCATGCATGTGTGCATGCATGCATGTGTGCATGCATGTATGTACGTGCGCATGCATGTATGTATGTATGTATGTATGCATGCATGTATGTATGTATTTATGTATGTATGTATGTATGTATGTATGCATGTATGTATGCATGTACGTACGTACGTACGTACGTACGTACGTACGTATGTATGTATGTATGTATGTATGTATATGTGTGTATGTGTGTATGCGTGTATGTATGTATGTATGTATGTATGTATGTATGTATGCATGCATGCATGCATGCATGTATGTATGTATGCATGCATGCATGCATGCATGTATGTATGTATGTATGTATGTATGTGTGTAGGTATGCACGTGTGTATGTATGTAGGTAGGTATGTATGCATGCATGCATGTATGCATGTATGCATGTATGTATGTATGTATGTATGTATGTATGTATGTATGTATGGGTGTATAACTGCATGCATGCATTTAGGTAGGTAGGTAAATAGGTCGGTATGTATACGAACATGTGTGCAACACTCTTTGCATGCATCTATGTCTGTATGTAGATATAACACTAAATGTGTACCTGTATGACTGGATGATGTGTCGACGTATGTGTGTAGACGCATGTCATGAAGCGAGACATAAACGAGAGAGAGAGAGAGAGCGAGGGAGAGATGCGCGTGCCTTTACGCGCGCAACGCCAACTGACATCAGACCCGCTACGGTGTGGGTGGTAATTGTTTGCAGCCTTCACGCTCCTCTTGTGTCAGCCCTGCCGATACTCGTTGACCCTGGAGCATGCCAGCATGCCCAAGAGACTCGGGCCGCCGTGTTCTTGTCACGCACCGTCCTCGACCAGGCCGACGGGGCTGACGCGCCTCTGCCCGACGCAAGCAACCTTTCGCTGCAACAACGACGCCGTCGCGTGGCCGAGCAGCGACGTCCCGCTGAGCCTCCCTCGGCGCTGCGGGCCACCTGGTTCGAAGGAGGTCATCTCCCGCGGGGCCAGCAGGTGCACGATCTTGATGGACTCTGTCCAGCAGTCCTGCGAGGCAGCGTTAGGAGGGGACCAGCTTGGCGGGGTAACATCGAGCGCGAATCGGCGACACAACGCCGATAGATCGGCGGCAGGCCGCTGATAGCGAATCCGCCTGGTCCTGGGCGGGGCGGGCTACTTGAAGCCTAATGGTTTTCGGACCGTAACTCGAGTCGTCAGCAGCCGTCCGTGACGATCCAGGCGAGCCCGAAACGCCCTCCAGGAGGCGCCGCTGCTGGAGAGCGTCCCGAGACGGGCTATAAAATCGATGAGGACCGACGAACCTGCCCGAACGACTTAAACATCGAAACTTCGTTCGCCTTGTCGGGGAGACGTAAGACTCGGGTTCGAGGGACTCGGGGTGGCCTGACGGGGCCATCATGAAAACGACGCGACCCAGTCTGAAATTTGGCGCGAGCTCCCGCCGCAAACATCCCATGAGAATTGGACCGTCGAACTCAGGACACCCTCGTCAAAAAGCGTTGGCAAACTGGAGTTCTGGCGTACTCGAGTCTTACGTTTCCCCGACCCTGGGCCTATCCCCCATCCTAACGTTGCGTCCGACCCGAACATATAGTATACTTATCTTGTTGCACATCGTTTCCCGAGCGGTATGGCCAGAAAGCGCCCGCCACGGAGCCTTACTGTAAGATTTCTCGGCGCGCGCGTCGCCCCCGGGGGGGCGACGCACACATGCTATGAGTATGTTACAGTATGTTGGGGTGACGCCGATGAGCCGATCCCCCACCCTAACTAGAAGAAGAAATAACTGCATAAACATTAACTTTTGGCGCTCCGCGCAGATTTCTTGGATCTGCGCGGAGCGGTTTGTCTTCTTCGACCAACGTCACCCCTGAAGTCCTTCTCGGACTGGATGCTCTCTCGCGTGCACCAGGCCAGCGGCCCATCCTCGGGGACACAGGGCATCCCGTAGCCGTCCAACACGCGGACGCCCTGCGGGGACCGCCCATCCATGGCGACGTAGACGAACAGCGAGCCGGAGCCGGAGCACGCCTACGCCACGAGCCACGAATATACGCACACAGACACCCTCCGACGACCTTTGCATGCACAGTCGGCCCGTAGCCTGAGGATGCGCGATCAGGATGCAAGGACCTTGGACGCCCATTTCGAGGCTTTTCGAGCGGGGCGCGGACAACGAAAGTGGCCAACGATGGGTAGGGAGGCAAGGATGCAAGGGCAACCTTGGGAAGGGTGCCCATCCTTGCTATGCGGTTTGACTGTACCTTCAGGGAGGGTGGCGGTGTATAAACTCGCTGGCTCTCAGTGGTGACGTATACACCGCCTCCCACCCCTGAGGCCCAGGAACAGTCCACTGGAGGGTGTCGGTGTCTACATACACTTTTTGTGGCGGAACGCCACCGAGTCGTCGAGCGCGTAGCTGCTCAGCAGGTCGCTGATGGCGACCTGCACCGCCTGCTCGCGAGAGTATGTTTTCATTCGCGGCGACGACGGGCGCTGTGTGGGAGGGGGGAGCGGGGGGTCATAGCCATAGCGGAACGCCTCCCACTCCCTCGCCATGTAATCCGGCACCACAGACTGTGATGCTGGACGCACTGCGGCGGTGCTGGGGACGCACTGGGGTGGGGTGGGGGAGCGTTGCGCTGTCCACACCGCTACTCCACGGACCTCTCCTCACTAGGGTGCGATCTGACCAACATTTCGAGCAGAATCCGGCCGTAACGAGCAGCAGTATCGGTACCATTCCCTCCTCTGAGTTTTTTTTTTGGGGGGGGAGGGGGGGCATCCGGCGCGCCATGGCCCAGGGCGTGCAAAAAACGCCCACCTTCCAGGCGCCGCGCGGCACATCCGGCGGGCCCTCCGGGGAGCAGCGCCCCTCGGCGCCGCGGCCGCGCGCGCTGGGCGTGCTCTCGGCGGAGGCCGCCGACGACCCGGAAGCCGTTCGGGCACCGCCAACTCGGCCCAGGGCCGGATCCTGCGGTGAGTATCGTTTGACCGATCCCCATCCCCAGCGGCGTGGCCTGGGCCCCACTGGCCGATTTACCCCCCTAGATGGGGATATAGGTCGCTCTCTTCGGGTTTCGAGGGGTACATCCCCAACTGGGGTGTCAATTTCGTGGGGGTCTCGAAGGGGATGGGGATGGGGATGGGGATCGGTTAAGGGGGGCGAAAAATCCGCCGACCCTGTCGGCGAGTGCGAGGGGTCTGTCTGTTCGAGTCGTCGTCTCCGTCGGTCGTCGTCGCCGTCGTCCCCTTTCCCTGCGCCCTCCTCCTCAAGCATGTCAGAGAGAGAAAAAACTAGCAATGTCGCAATCGAATCGAAAAAAAGCCCCTTGCCTTTGACCCCTCCCCCGTCGGACGGAGGGGGTCCCAAGGGGGGGGTCCTGGGTCAGATGTGCATCTCCTGTTGGGGGGTCCCGGGTTAGATACGCATGCTCCCCCCAGGGATGCCGGGGCCGCAAAAAGTACGAAGACAGGCCAAGAGTGGCACAAGAGGTCCCCGAGACGGTCCAAGAGGGCCCCCAATCGCCAAACGATCAGTCCCAAGCGCTTTCACGCCCTCCAGGCTGTCCAGGAGACATCCAAGACGCTCCAACAGGCCTCCAAGCGCACTCCCAAGAGGGCCCCAAGAAGCAAAATTCATCGATTGCCCTTCAATGTTTGAAAGATTTGGGTGTTCTCGCCTTCTCCGCTTCCCGCCGCTCCAAGACGGCCGAAGAGGCCCCCAAGATCGCCCCAAGACAGCCCAAGAGGCCTCCCAGAGGGCCCCGAAACAGCCCAAGAGGACCCCAAGACAGCCCAAAGTGCCTCCAAGGAGGCCCCAGAGGCCCCCAAGACGGCTCCAAGAGCGTGCCCAGACGGGGGACCCGAACGGACATTTCGAGCCCTCGGCCCCGAGAGGCTCCCACGGAGGCCCCAAGAGGTTCCCAAGAGGCCCCACGAGGCCCACAAGAGGTCCCCAGGAAGCCCGAAGAGGCCCCCAAGAGGCTCCCAAAAGGCCCCCATGAGGGTCCTAAGATGCCCCGACAATTCCTCCTAAGAGCCCCCGAGAGCCTTCCGAAGAGACCTCAAGAAGCATCCCTGAGGACTCTTGCCCACGTCAGCGTCGTCGTCGTCGTCGTCGTCGTTGTCGTCGTCGTCATCGTCTCCCTTCAGGGTCGCCGGCACCAGACGTAAGGCCTTCGCAAGAGACCCATACGGCGGGTTCGCGCCGTGACGACCCTGGCATGGGTTCCTGACACCGCTGGGATTCTTCAGCCTTGAACGATCGGTCTGTTCCGCCACGTCAAATCATTCAACATCGACCCGTTCTGGGCTGCCGTTCGTCTTCGTTGGGACGCAGAAGAACACACTAGTACTACGCGTCCTCCTTCGAGGCGACAAAAATCAAGAGCCCCTGGTCCGTTGGCTCCCGCGCGTTCGCCGCCGCCGCGGTGCGCTCAGCCGAAAAGGTCGAAGACCACGTCCTCGTCCTCCTCCTCCACGGCCGCGGCCTTCCTCTCCTCCTTCTTCTCGCCGCCGCCCGCCGCCGCCCGCCGCCGGCGCTGCAGCCACCGGGTTCGCCGCAGCGCACGCTTCGGGGTCCTCCAGGAACTTCTTGACAGGCTCCATCTCCTCCCCCCCCTCCTCCTCCTCCTCAGCGGCCGGCTCCGGGGCCTTCTCCCTCTGCGGCGGCTTCTGGCGCGGCGCCTCCTCCTCCTCCTCCTCGGCGGGCTCCTCCTTCCTGGCTGGACGGGCAAGGGGCCTCTGCGGTCTCCTCTTGGCCTGCTGCCGCCGGCCACCGGCTCGTCCTCGTCCTCGTCCTCCTCCCCCTCCTCCTCCTCCTCGACGCTCGTCGTGCGTTGCCTCTTGGCCGTCGTCCTGACAGCCTCCTTTGGGCTCCCGCAGCCTCCCTGCTGCCTCCTCGTGGTCTCGTCGTCGCTCTCCAGCCGCTGCTCCTCCTCCTCCTCCTCCTCCTCCTCCTCCTCCTCCTCCTCCTCCTCCTCCTCCTCCTCCTCCTGGTCGCCGCCCTCCGCGGGTCTTCCTCAGCGCCTCTCCGCTGCCTCCGCATGGCGTCGTCGTTGTTCTCCTGCTGCTCCTCCTCCCCCTCTTACCCCTCCTCCGCCTGGTCGCCCTCCCTCGCTTCGTCGGCCTCGGCGCTCGCCGCCCGCCCTTGCGCCTCACGCGACGGCCGCCGCCGCCGCCGCCTCCGCTGCAGCCGCCGCCGCCAGGCGTGCCGGGGTCGCCCCGGGCCGCGGGCGCTGCAGGCGCTGCAGGATGGCCCGCGCGTTCTCCCTGTGTAGGGAGATGGAGAGTCGCTGGGCCATCCTGTCCGCCGCGCTGGCGGCCTCCTCGCCGCGCGCGTCAGCCGCGCGCTTAGCCAGCACGGCGAAGGCGCGCCGCGCCTCGCCGCCCCAGCTCCCGCCGTGCGCCTCCACCACCATTGGGATGAAGGCGAGGTCCGCGTCGCGGCAAGCCTGCGCCGTGCCCTGGTGCTGCCGCTTGTACTCCTCGTACCTGTCGAGGGCGGCGGCCGGGTCCGCGGCGGAGCGCGCGATGAGGTCCGCGCGCAGGCCGGACGTCACCGCGAAGTCCAAGGCCGCCGAGAGCCCGCCGCGCCACCGGGGGACATAGACATCCGCTGGCCGGCGGCCGTCGTTGTCTAGTCCGTCGCCGTCGGGCTCCTCGGCGTTCGGCCCCTCGCCCGGCGCCCGCGGCGGCAGCAGTCCGGGCCGCTCCAAGCTCCGCCCCCGAGAAGCCAGCGGCCTGGGCGGCAAAGAAGGTGCCGTTCCGCAGCTTGTTGTGGCGGCGCGTGCGGTCGCCCTGGCAGGCGCGCGTCAAGGCGTGGTCGCAGTACACGTCCATGACTTCCCCGCACGCTGGGCAGAACGCTTCCTCGTCCATCAGCTGGACACGGAGCCGTCGCTTGATCCCGATCTGCATCAAGCTGTGCGGGACCGCTGTGCCGAGCGCCTCGCTGGGGGGCGCCTGCAGGTGCGCGCTGGCGCCGGGCGCGGCCACCAGGGCAAGGTGGGCGCGCGTCGCGGCCGAGGAGCGGCCCCAGAGGGCGGCGCGCGCGGCGTCGTCGACCTGGTCCGAGAGAGTCTTCTGGTTGGAGTGCGTCTCGCAGTCGAAGCGCGCAGCCTGGTTTGCCCCCGCCACACTTGCGTTGTGGGTCTGGAGCGCCGCCGCCAGGGCCCCGGCGTCGCCCGCGTCGTCGTCTGTGTAGCCCGCGTACATGGACCGGCAGAACTCGCTGCTCTTGGCGCGCGAGGACAAGTAGGCCGCCGGCGAGTGCTTCTCAGCGGAGCGCAGCCCCAAGCCGCCCTTGTTCAGTTTCAGCTGCGCTTGGGCCCAGGAGTCGTCGGTGAGGGAAGCGCCGGCCAGCTGTTCCAGGCAGGAGCGCACTGCAGCGTCCATCTCCAGGAGAGCCTCGGTGTGGGCGGAGGGCGGCACCACGCGCGCCGAGTAGCCGAGCTTGCAGTAGGAGGCACACTGCCGGAGAAGGTGAAGGGCTACCTGCGCGTCCTCCAAGCCGGCCAGTGCGCCCAGGAGCTCCGCTGCCTTCTTCACTCTTTTCTGCGTGTGCTGGAGGCAGAAATCGTCGCTCCCGATGGGCGCGCCGAGGAGCTCAAAGCAGCTGTCGGGGCGCAGTCGGAAGCCCGGTGGGAAATCCGCCGCGGACGCGTTGCTGTCCGCCCCCGCTGAAGGGACCACCTCGCACTTGCCCGGCCCCGTGCTGAGGTCGAGGCCGACTGCTGCGAGCTCGGCCACGACGAGGTGGAGGAAGCGCGCCACAGCCTGTCTGTCACCCGCCACGCAGCCGTCGTCCAGGTAGAAAAAGACGAGGTCCAGGCCGGCGTCCTGGGCAAGCTCCCTGAGGCTGCGGCTCGCCGTCTCCGCGCAGCGTTGGAGTGCCAGGGAGAAGAGCAGCGGGCCAAGCGGGTCGCCCTGCTGGACACCGCACTCGGAGCGCAGCGTCTGCTTGCCGAGGAAGAGTAGCGAGGGGCTGCCGTAGCACCAGTCCGCCCAAGGTGCCAGTGCGGGAAAGTCCTCGTGCACTGCTCTGAGGACGGCCCTCCGGTCCAGGGTGTTGAAAGCGCTCGAGAGGTCCAACTTCACGAAAACTTTGTCCCTGTCGCCCAGGTTGCGCGTGAACCACTGCCTGGCCACGTGGATTGCCGCCTCGGCGCCTCCCGGGACGGCCACGCCCACCTGCAAGGGCGCAAGGCGGTCGCGGGCTGCCCCGGCGACCTCCTTGCAGAGGCACTTGCCCACCAGGCGGCGAAGTGTCTCGCCGACGGCCACCGGGCGGAGGCCGCCGTCGTTCTTCGGGAGAGCCACCAGCGAGGCGCCAGCAAAGTAAGCCGCGACCGCCGCCGGAGCCTGGCCGCGCGCGAGCACGTTGAACGTTGGCCGCCGGTCGACACGACGCGAACCTTCAACGTTGAACGCCCGCGCAGGGGTCGCCGCCGGTCGACACGACGCGAACCTACCGTACCGCTACGGACCTCTCCTGGGGCGCCTTCTGGCCAGGACCTCGAGGCGAATCCAGCCGCCTCCAGGATCCTGCAAGATCCTGCAAGATCCTGCACGCAGACCCGGGTCAGCGCACCCCTGGCCCTGCAGGATCCTGCAAGATCCGGCGCTCTGGCTGACCCCCGTCTGCATTGACCCCCGTCTCAAGGCTCCCGATACGAGGGAAGGGTCAGCGGTGCTGGGGTCCCCTCGGAGCTGACATTGAGAAGGATTGCAACAACGCAAACAATCACCCTCGGAGCCCCGGACCCATCTCCTCCTCCTCCTCCTGCGCATGTGTTCAAGCCAGATCGATCTGCGAGGGTCCCAGGGCCCGAAGTCGCATGGTGAAAACACTGCATCGCCCGGATCTGAGGTTGGTGGCGCGCACGAGGGGTGTGGGGGGGAGGAAGGGAGGAAGGCTTCTTAGAAGGAGGCTGCCTCTCAGAAGGCGCCAGTTCTGTATCTATAGAACAGGCCCGCGCCTTCTGAGAAGCAGGGGTGCTTCCAAGAGGCCTTTCCCCTCCCCTTGCCATCGCTGGGATGTCCATCCCCTGTGCATGTTTCGTCTTCATGCGTGCCTTTTTCGGCGAGATGATCCAGGATGCTCCTCGATGACCCTCGCCGAGAAAAATTACACGAGTGCAAGCAGTACCAACCCTGAGGGGCAACGATAAGGAGGGGACTGGCATAAGGGGAGGAACATCGGCCGAGAATCGGCGATACATCGCCGACAGCCATCGGCCCCCGATGGCAAATCCGCATGTTCCTGGGCAGGTTGGCGCTATCGGGCCCCTCTCGGCGATGAATGGGCGATTGGGGGTCGATGTGTTCCCCCCTGAGCCTATCCCCCTCCACCTCGGCGGCGAGCCCAGGGGGGAAGTGAGAAGGGGCGGGCCTTTCCAGGAGGCTTGAAGTCCCCTGGCCTTCTGCGAAGACGACGCAGACAACTTCGCCGAAGGCGCGAGGGCTCCTGAGAAGTCCCGCCGCCTTCTGAGAAGGCGGCCTTCTCCTTGTCACTTCCCCTCTCGCTCGCCGCCGACGATCGTTGCCCCCAGAACTGCCCCCTCCCCCCTCTGCGCGCGGCCGTTGTTCCCCTCCGAGAGCCGACACCATCACGCGGTCGAAGAAGAGCGGCGAGCCCTCGGCGCCGGCGCCAGGGCCGCGACCGCGGCGCGCGGCGGGCGCGCTCCTCCCAGCGGAGGGCGCAGACGACCCTGGACGACGACGACGACGACAACGATGACGACGACGACGACCACGACGACGACGATGACGACAACGGCCACGAAGACGACGGCCACGACCACGACGGCCACGACGACCACGACGACGAAAACCACGACGACGACCACGAAGTCGACGACGACCATGACGACGACGACGACGAAAGCCACGGCGACCACGACCACGTCAACGACGACGAAAACGACGACCACGACGTCGACGACGGCCACGACGACGACGACCACGACGGCCACGACCACGATGTCCCCGACGACGACGACGACGGCGACGGCGACTACGTCGAAGTCGACAACGACGACGTCGACGACGGCTACCACGACCACGTCCACGACGACGACGACATACCGAAGACAACGACGGCCACGACAGCGATGACGACGACCACGACGACGACGACGACCACGACGGCCACGACCACGACGACGACGACCACGACGGCCACGACGACAACATCCACGACGACCACGACGACGTCAACGACGACAACGACGACAACAACGACATTAACGACGACGTCGACGACGACGACGGCGACGACGACGGCCACGATGACGAAGACCACGACGTCCACGACGACGACGACGACGACCACGACGGCCACGTCAACGTCGAAAGGGGGGGCCCGTTTGAGATACGTCAACCGCACTGCCCGAGATACCCTTGTCGAAGCCCATGGAGAGAACCGATCAAAATGCTGAGGGCTAAATGAGCTCTGCACCCAAAGACTCCGACTGAGTAGCTGGTCGTACTTGCTCGCTGCTGCACTTCCAAAGCTTGCTCCTCATCCCAACCCAGACGGTAGTGCCCAGATGGTAGATGACTGAACCTGGACCCACCCACCAGTCACGTCGTAGCCCGAAGGGTTTCTCTGCCAAATGATGGGGATCTGCGCCGCACATGCACCCGATCTCCTGGTTGATAGACACGATCACGATGCCACGCCGAACGTAGGGCAAGACTGAGCTCACTCCGAGAATCTCCTTTCATCGCCAGCTGGCCCTGGAGCGGATGGCATACTGGTGGCGAAAGGCTGCTGCGGCACGTCCACGTCGCCACTCGCCTCTGAGAGATCGCGCAGGCCAATGTGATCGAGGGGGTCCTCACAGAGCAGCTTGCGCGGCAATCGCGGGTTCTGGCCGAACGCCAGCTGAAGGGGAGGAACACCGCCCCTGTTGAGGAATCGGTTTCGCCATGCCGTGAGCTCGCAGGCAGCCTGCTCCGAGCCAAACGGACTGTCCAACAACTTTTTCGACTATCCGTTGGAGACGCTCCTTCAACCACTGACCTGCCCGCTCCGTCTTCCCGTTCTGCCATAGATACTCAGCGTCGGTCACGTGATGATAGGGTCCTGACTGCTCTGCGAAACGATCAAACTCTGCTTCGGACTCCGCACTTCCGTCGGACATGCTCGCATCCAGCGGGCCATAGTGGCGGAGCCATCCTTTAGCAAATGCCTGCCAGACAAGACCTGGATGCGAACGACGACCTGCGCCGACGAGACCAACCCACAAAGACGTACCCAGGCACGTTGCATTGAGAAGCGTGTAGATTTGCTGACGGTACGTGACATAGATCAGATCAACTCTGAAGTTTCTGTTGAAGGCGCAAGCGCGGGAAACGCGGGTCCGACGTTGAGAGATGGAACGGGCAGAGCTGGAGCAGGCCTGGCACTCGAAGTGTTTCTGTGCATACTGCAATACTTCAGGACGTGCATGTGCGCTGCGTAGAATACGTAGTAGATCGCGGTTTGTAGGATATCCTATGTTTATATGTGCATTTTCTACCATCTGCATCTGCTCCTGAGTGAGCACGGTCTCCTTGACGTCCGGTGTTCCCTCAGCTCCCTCGGCTTCCGCGCACTCCTCGTCGTCTTCCGCCGGCGCGCCTGCCGAGGGTGCCTGAAGGTCCTCGTCGCACAGGAGTGTAGGAAAGGTAGACGGTGGGAAAGTCTCGACAAAGCTGCGCTCTTTCTCAACTCGAGCTGACCTCTGTACTGCATTGGCCACTGTGCGACAGGACTTGACTGGATTCACGGCGGCCCTCGACGCGGCCCAACCTTCGACCAACAGTTCGTGCTTGTGATCACCCCTCAGTGAGAGGGCCTGGAGCACAGCCGAATCATTGGACAAGATGCTCGTCAGTTTCTTCGATAGCGACTCGCCCTTGACGCGGAGGCCGAGCCTGCACGTATCAAACGATGCCTCTTGAACGCCCGGCTGGCTGCGCAGCCACCCTGCACTGCGTGGCCGGAGTGAGCGGGCCAGACGGGGTTGCTCGATCGCGGACCGACCCTGAGAGACCTGTTCGGCGGCATCCTCCAGCGCAAACGCCCGCAGAGTCACGGCCTCGGCGCGCTTGGCGGCCGACCGGCGAGGGTCCTGGCGGTCTTCGTCAGGGGCGAAAAATGCACTGAACTCGGTGCAAGGCGGGCAACGGAACACGGACCACGGCTTCCGAGGATCGATCAGACTCCTGGCAATTTGGCGGTGTTTGGATAGCCACACATGTGGCCCAATACTAGAGGGAGAGGAGATCTCGATGAAGTCCTGTTGGGCACCAGCGCCAAGGGCCGCGCGTCCGAGCCTATGGAGAACCTTGCGGAGGGACTTCAGGGTTCCATTGCGAACCGGCGTGTTCTTCTGGCCCCCATGCGCAGGCCAGGGCGCCATCTGCGTCGTTCTCAGCCTCCAGAAAGCAGCCCACTGGAACAAAAAACGCATGGCCCAAAGAGAGTCCAGGGGAGGAAAATGTCAGTGGCATCTGTCCTGTCCTAACCGTCATGCGTTGATGACGTCATTGACCTTGGTCGCAGATGATGGTGTAGATGATGCCGTTGGAGATGGTGTCATGGATGGTGATGAGGGCTGAAGTCATAGATGATGTGGCGTTGGACGATTTCGAAGTAAGAAACAGGGCAGGAGGAATAGCAAAGTCCCGCCTTGCTCGCGCGTAGAACGCTGCTCCACAGTCCGCGGTGGAGCCTAGCTGCCTGAGGTAGTTGCATCCAGCAGGAGCCTTGAAGCTTGCTCGCACTCCTGAGCTCCGTAGATGCTGCTGGAGACGCCCGCCCCAGATGGAGCAAGGACTCGGCGACGACCCTACAAGCTCGAACTCGCCCTGCGTCGGACCCTCCTGGCCAAGGTGAGACGAGGAACCCGGGGCTGGACTCGACGGTGCATCGGCCGCAGGAAGCATCAGCACATCCGCCGGCTGCCGGCAGTTGGCCCGGGAGCCCAGACACGCGTTCACCGACCGCATCTCGGAGACCAGGGGGGTCATCGAGGCGGCAATGTCCTGCGACTGAGCCTGCAACGTGGCCTGGATCGCAATCGTCATGTTCGCAGACATGCTCGCCGACACGGTCTGCGCTGCTTCCTGCATCATCGCCGCCGTCCAGGCCGGAGGGCGAGTGGCTCGACAGGCTGCTCCACTGTTCCCCCGATGTTCCCGGGCGGTCCGCTGGCCCCACGGCCGGCGCTGGGCTCGGGGGAGCTGTGCGTCGCGCAAAACCTGCCAACTGACCTCGAAGTAGAGCCAGCTCCTGTTTCGTCATCCTGCGATTGCCTTGGCCCGCGCCGAGGTTGGGGCGGCAGGCGACTCGCATCCTGCGGCTCGGGCAGAAGTCCCACAGGGGCACTGGTTTCTTGAGCTCGAGATTCTCCAGGGTAGATGCGTACACCTCGTCCACGCTCTGGTCTGGGTCTCCTGCAGCAGCCTCGAGTCCTCGAGCAGTCGCTCCTTGTAGTTCTTGGTGTCGAAGAGCCGCATGTCCTTCACAAGTCTCGAGATCTTGAGCCTGGTCCCGTCGAAGTAAATGCTCGCGCAGACCAGGGGGGCCGTCCAGAGTCCCGCGACTGAGCGGGTCTCGTCCTCGGTCTTGACGCGCTTGATCACCATCGCGCGGCACTCTGGGCACCATGGAGTGGAATGCTGTAGAGGTCGCGTGAACGGCGCATCCGCTGGAAGAAAGGCTGCGAGCGACAGGGGTAGAAGACGAAGAGGTGCAACGAGTAGGAGGGGGGGATGAGGGAAATGATGATGAGAGTAGGGTCCGCCCACTGGAGCGTTTCTCGGAGCTCCGAAAGACCTTGCAGCGCTGTGCCAGATGCGCTGGCGGTTCAAACTGACTCTCGAGGCCCTGCCATTCAATCATCCTGATCGTCCTGTGACTCCTGCCCGATCTCTCAATCGGCACGGTGCAACCGATCTCCCGCAGGGCGAGCTGCCCCGCGGATAATCCAGAATGGCGCCGAAGGAGTCGAGACAATCACCTGGCAATTGCGGTGGGAGGCTCTCCTCTTGGTCACGACAAACTCGATCACTCCCGACTTGCCTCCCGTCGCCACCGGGGCCATCGCCGCGCCGAGCAGGGTGGCCTGTCCACCGGCGCCCCTCGGGGGCCTGGCAGGCATGTCGATCCGCGCGGGGACGAGCCCACGAGAATTCAGGCCCGCGGTGGGACGGTCGAGAGACTCCTTGCCCATGATCGCCTGGGAAGCCCCGCTGTCCACGATCACGCAGCCGTCCTCGAGGGCGAGGAAGGAGAGGACCTTCTGGTTGGTGGTGCCCACGTCGTTCTTCTCGATGCACTGCCCACGGAGCTCCCTCAGCGCGTCTTCGACGAGCAGGCTGACCCATGAGCTGCCGTTGAGATTCTCGCCCTGCACGGCGCGTGCGAGCCCGCTGCCGTCGAAGGAGAAAGCAGAGCCGCCGGCGCCTGAAGCGCATTGATACCTTTCCGACGGGCCTCCTTGGGCTTGGTAGAGTTCTTGCCTTCTGCATGCCAGCGGCCTGTCTCTCCGCAGTTGCCGCACTTCGTGACTAGCTTGACCTGCGCAGGTGCGAGTCGGCGCCTCCGCCTCCAATAGCCGCGATCCTTCCGGACTGCATTCTTCAGATCCTCAGTATCTTCCCAAGTCTCCTGCCGGCCCTTTCCCATCTGAGCCAGCGTCTCAGTGACCTCGCCCCCGGCGAGGCCCCGTCCGCTGAGCTCCACTAGGGCGCCAAGCTCCTCGTCGGTGTCCAGCTCGTCGGCCCACCAGGGCCACGCAGACTCTGGGTGTCCGATCTCGTCGTCACCGGTCTCGTGGCTTGACTTGGTGCTGCCGAGCTCGAGGAGGCTGCTGTGGGACTTGGGGTCGTCGCCCCAGGCCAAGCCGCCCGTGTCTAGACGAGGAAGAGCCCACATGATGTCGGGTCCCAACAGAGAACCCCTGGTGAGACTGCGAACGTTCTGCTTGCCCTGAGCGGATAGTCGAGCGCCCTGTAGTAGCAACATGCCCTGAACCCTGGGCGGAAGCTCCATGCCGATCTCCTTGGCACGCTCGAACTGTCTGCGGCGGCGTGTCACATACGCCAGCTGATCCTCATCCTTCTTTCGTTCGATGTCCCTGGTGGCCTCGTTGCCCGCCCTGAATACTTCGTCGTCCTATCGCTCTCCAGCTTCCTGACCAAGGTGGTACACGATCCTGTCCACCGTGAGGTCGTGCTCGGGAATGTACAGTAGCTTGGCAACTAGATCCCATGGCAACTCTTTCAGGAATCTGTCGGCACACTGGGACTCCGAGAGCCAAGAGTTTCGTCTCCATCGGAAAAATGATGCTTCCACAACCTGAACTTGTCCCAGCCTGGCCAGGACGGTGGAGGTCGGATGTTTGTTTCTGATTCCAGCCTCCGCTCCAGGAGGCTCAGGTGAGGTGCTGGGATACCAAGAGCTGCGATGCCATCGGCTCGACGGTGGAACGTCGGTCTGTTCAGCGCCGTTGTCTCGACACTGGGCTCTCATCGTGGGTGGCGTACAGCTGTCGTCTCCCACCAGTGTTGGATCCTGGTCGTGAGCCCCGGGCGTCGAACTCCTCAGTGTCGCGGGGTAGCCTGGTCCAGGCCTAGTCTGTCCAGCCGCCCGCAGACCATGTCGAGGCCCATGGGTCGTTCTGCCACAGTAGGTCCTGTCCGTGCTCGTACCACGTGTACGATGGCGCTGGAGGTTCTGCTCTCTGGTCGCTCAGATCCGGTGCCGCCTGTGCTGGGGGAGGGCACCACGGTACGGATCCTGCTGCTGTGGCTGCTGTGGCTGCTGAGGCTGCTGCTGCTGCTGGTGAGCTGCTCTGATCACCCCTCAGTAGCTCGACCACTCGACTTGCACTTGAATCGAGGTCTTGCCTCGAGAGTCCTTCTGACATGAGCGTCTGCCGTCAGTGTCACACTTCGCACCCCTGTCGTCCGTCCAATCCCCGTAGGTCCGTGGATCGCCTGGCCCGCTAGCTGCGCCCAGCAGCACCTGGTGCTGCGGCAGCCTGCGGCCCTGAACCCCGCTCAGCTGTCACTGTTGGCACGCGGGGGTCGGGCGGACAATCGCGAAGCTCTGCACTATCTGCTTTTCACTCTGAAACAGAAAGCCTTGAGCCTTTATCAGCAATGATGAGACAAAACGCATACGCAAGTATACAATATAACATTGTAAGTGCATACAACACTGACAGGCAGAGAGATGGTGCAGGAACATGTGTCAACAACAAGAACGGCCACGAAGACGACGGCCACGACCACGACGGCCACGACGACGACCACGACGACGACGTCGAAGTCGACGACGGCCACGACGACGGCGACCGTGTCCACGTCCACGACGACGACGACGACGACGACGACTACGACGACGACAAGAAAGGCCACGACGACGACGACCACGACGGCAACGACCAAGACGGCCGCGTACACAATGTCCACGACGACGACGACGGCAACGACGACGTCGACCACGACGGCCACGACCACGACGGCCACGACCACGACGGCCACGACGACGACCACGACGACGACGTCGAAGTCGACGACGACGACGACGACAACCACGTCCACGACGACGACGACTCCGTCCACGTCCACGTCCACGTCGACGACGACGACGACGACGACGACGACGACGACGACGACGACGACGACGGCCACGACGACGACCACGACCACGACCACGGCCACGACCACGACGACCACGACGATGCCCATGACGACGGCCACGGTGACGGCCACGACGACGACCACGACGACGACGACGACGACGACTACGACGACGACGACGACGTCCACTACGACGACGACGGCGACGACGACGACGAATGCGTCATCGACGACGACCGCGCCGCCCTCCTGACGGCGCGGGCTCGGGCCCAGGCCGGCCCCGAGGCCTCTGCGCCGCGGGCCTTGGCGGGGGCGAGGCGCGTGGCGGCACCATCCGCCCCAGGAAGGCGTCGGCAGCCAGCCCCGAGTCCGAACATGCAGGCCATGGCCTTGAGAAAAAACTGGCCACCGCCTTGGGCCAACAGCAGCAACAAGTCACCGTGCGTCAGGTGGCGCACCAGCCTCTCGTGTCCTTGGGCGTGCTCTTCTGCGAGCGGAAGTGGCACCGCAAAGCCACGCATGGCAGAGGGCGTCCCGAGATGCTTGACAAGCAGAAAGAAGAGGAGGGGGAGGAGGAGGAGGAGGAGGAGGAGGAGGAGGAGGAGGAGGAGGAGGATCGGCGGCGAGCGAGGGTGGGAAGCGAGAAGGAGAGGCCTTCTGAGAAGGCGGCGGGACTTCTCAGAAGCTCGCGCGCCTTCTGAGAGGTCTCCTGTGTCTTCGGGGAAGGGCTCAGGGAACTTCTCAAAGGCCGGGGGACTTCCGAGTCTCCTGAGAAGGCCCGCCCCTTCTCACTTCCCCCCCAAGACTCGCCGCCGAGAGGAGGAGGAGGAGGAGGAGGAGGAGGAGGAAAAGGAGGAAAAGGAGGATGAGGAGGAGGAGGAGGAGGAGAGGAAGGGAGGAGGCCCAAGCCTCCATGACTACGAAGAGCTCGGCTCGCCTGATGACTCGCGCCGATACATCGCTCCATGGACTTGGGCAAAAAAGAAAGCTGTAGAGGCGGATGACCAAGGGGGATGACGCTTTTGAGCGTTCTTGCCACAGCACAGTCACGTGCCGAACGACGCCAGCACGCTTCGGGCACCATGGCGGGACGAGCATGCTCGCGCCGAAGGGTGCTGCTGGGGGCCTCCAACACAGAGGCCACTGACCTGCGCCCAGGGAAGATGCCGACAGAGGACGAAAACGAGTGAAAGGAGGGGGGAGAGGAGAAGGGGCAGCAGCAGAACGGAGGATCAAGATGGGGCCTTTTCAACAGAGAGAGGGGGGGATTGCGACGGGAATGTGTATGGCAGCATCGTTGACGCATCTTGGGTTTACTCATGTCATGGGTGAAAGAAGAAGCTGTACAGGCGGATGCGCCGACTGCACCCACGCGTTCACCCGAGCACGACTACGCTGGACAGGTAGCGAACTCTGGGACGAGGAGCGTCACGAACGCGATTGACTCTTGCTGGTGGTCCGCATGGTCACATTTCAGAGTAACTTCATTAGCACTGGCACGACTTTCTGGATCCGGTCGAGATCGAGCTTCTCAGGCCCGTCGGCTTCCTCCCTCAAACCTACTTTGGCCTTGGGCTTCTCGGGAGAGGGGGAGGAGGAGGAGGGGGAGGAGGAGGAGGAGGAGGAGGGGGGGAGGAGGGGGGAGGAGGAGGAGGAGGAGGAGGAGGAGGAGGAGAAGGAGGAGAAGGAGGAGGAGGAGGAGAAGGAGGAGAAGGAGGAGGTGGAGGTGAAGGAGGAGGAGGAGGAGGAGGAGGAGGAGGAGGAGGAGGAGGAGGAGGAGGAGGAGGAGGAGGAGGAGGGAGGAGGAGGAGAGGAGGAGGAGGAGGAGGAGGAGGAGGAGGAGGAGGAGGAGGAGGAGGAGGAGGAGGAGGAGGAGGAGAGGAGGAGGAGGAGGAGGAGGAGGAGGAGGAGGAGGGAGGAGGAGGAGGAGGAGGAGGAGGAGGAGGAGGAGGAGGAGGAGGAGGAGGAGGAGGAGGAGGAGGAGGAGGGAGGAGGAGGAGGAGGAGGAGGAGGAGGAGGAGGAGGAGGAGGAGGAGAGGAGGAGGAGGAGGAGGAGGAGGAGGAGGAGGAGGAGGAGGAGGAGGAGGAGGAGGAGGAGGAGAGAGGAGGAGGGGAGGAGGAGGAGGAGGAGGGAGGGAGGAGGAGGAGGATGAGGAGGAGGAGGAGGAGGAGGGAGGAGGAGGAGGAGGAGGAGGAGGGGGCAAGAGGAGGAGGAGGAGGAGGAGGAGGAGGAGGAGGAGGAGAAGAGGGAGAAGGAGGAGGAGAAGGAGAAGGAGGAGGAGGAGGAGGACGGGAGGAAGAGGGAGGAGAAAAGGATGGCGCAGAAGGAGGGCGACCGAAAATTCGGAAGGACTCGGCGACGACGGTGGCGAGGATCGCGCAACGAGAGAGCGATGGCACCACAAAGGCCCCGAGGCCTCCCGCGACTCGGTGCGGCAGAGATCTGCCCTGCTTGCAACGTGACATATACCGCTTACGGCAGATTCACGTCGTGCCGACTTCGGCGTTGGTTCCCGAAACCACGGGGATCGTTCAACATGGAACGATCGGCGGGTTTTCGCTCGCCACATCGCTCAATATGGGCTGATTCTGGGCTTCTGGCGGCGTTCCACCTTGAACGCCCGCGGCGGGATCACCGCCAGCCGACACGACGCGAACCTACCGTACCGTTGTGGTCTGGGGGCTTATACTATCCGAAAAGCCCTTGAATCAGAGGCCTCCCAGATGGGGTCGGAGTAGATGATGTCGGAGGATCGCGCCGCATCGCCGATGCATCGGCGATGCATCGGCGATGCACCGGCGGTGCATCGCGACGTCGGCGATGCATCGGCGACGTCGACGTGAAGCAAATCGGGCTCCACATTGAGCCGCATCGGCGATGCATCGGCGATGCGGCGCGATCCTCCGACCCCATCTGTCCAGACCCCGTCTGGGAGGCCTAGATTAATACTACCCCCGTCCGTAGCCTGAGGCAGGGTGGGATGAGGGAAGGGCTGAGTGCGCCTTTAGAAGCTCACCGCCGACGCCATCGAGCCCGTCGACTTCCTCCCGCAAACCTACTTGGGCCTTTGGCCTGTCCGGGGGAAGAGAATGAGGGAGGAGGAGGAGGAGGAGGAGGAGGAGGAGAAGGAGGAGGAGGAAGAGGAGGAGGAGGAGGAGGGGGGGAGGAGGAGGAGGAGGAGGAAAAGGAGGAGGAGGAGGAGTACAGGAGGAAGAGGGAGGAGGATCGAGGTACAGAGGGGGGGAGGAAGGGGGGGGGGAGGGGGGAAGGGCCGAGGGCGCCTCTTGAAGATCACCGCCGACGCCGCCGGAGCCTCGCCCGGGCGCAGCACGGCGGGTGGCGGCTGCCGCGGGGCCTGTTGGCGGGGCTGCGCCGCGGGCCGGCGGCCGGCCAGGCTCTGGGACGGTCGACGACGAAGACGACGACGAAGACCGAAGAGGATGAAGAGGAGGACGAGAAGCAGGAGGAGGACGACGAAGACGAGGAGGACGACGAGGAGAGCGAGGAGGAGGATGAGGGCGACGAGAAGGTCGACGAAGAGGACGAGGAGGACGACGAGGACGATGAGATCGCCGAGGAGGATGAGGATGACGACGGACGACGGCGACCAACAACGATTACGACGACGGCCCAGGGCCGAGGGCGGCTGGATACGTTACGCCCGAGGAACTCTACGAATTCCCTGCGGCCCGGCTCTAGTCAAAGTTGACGGGTTGCCGCCAGCGACCAATGCTTCACAATGGGTCGATTTGCGACGGTCCAGGGGCACGAAACGGACCTTCTGGCGAACCTTCTCTGTGATTCCACACGGCGACGCCGACTCGGCGACGACGACAGCAACGTCAGCGGCGACGACGGCGGCGACGCACTATGGATGCCCATTGGGGGGGGGGCTGCGTAGGCCCGCTGTAATCGACGACGGCGACGACGATGATGACGGCGGCGACGGCGGCGGCGGCGACGGCGACGGCGACGGCGGCGGCGGCGACGGCGACGGCGACGGCGTCGACGACGACGACGACGACAACGTCGGCGACGGCGACGGCAGAGGCTTCGGTGGCGGTCTGGTGGTCCCCACATGCCCTCGAAAGCCTGGGAGTATTGTCGCCAGCCTGCGGAGGCCTCTCGAGGCCCTCGGAAGCCCCTGGAAGGCCCTTTGAAGGCCTTCGAAGACGACGACGACGTTAACAACGACGACGACGTCAACAACGCAGTTAACGACGACGACGACGTTAACGACGACGGCGTTAATGACGACGATGACGTCATCGAAGACGACAACATTGACGACGATAACGTTGACGACGACTGCTACTCGTTTTTCTGCGGAGAACGTTTGATGGCAGAGGCCGGCTGGATGCATATGCTAGGAAGGCTGAGGCTTGAAATCCAACTCCCAGCGGGAGTGCTCAGGCGGGTGAGGTCGGGGGGGTAGCTTGAGCAACATTACGGCGACAGACGAAAACCTGTTAGCAAACACCTCCGACGCAGAGACATGCTACTCGTTTTTCTGCGGAAAACGTTTGATGGCAGAGGCCGGCTGGATACATATGCTAGGAAGGCTGAGGCTTGAAATCCAAAACCTTTTGCAAACACGGAAGTTCACAGCGAAGCGGCGGGCGGCTTTAACCTGGCAGAAAAAGCCGCCTCCGAGACCCCACGAGGACGGGAGCAGGGGACCGGCGGAGTGGCGTCACCTACTGTTTCCCAAGAGGGATCTCGCAAGGAAATCGCACAGCCTCGAAGGATACTTGGCGGCTCGGCTAGTCATCGAAGAGCCTACGAATGTCAAATGTTTCTTACCAAGTCTAAAGCTGCAAAAACCATGTTTGCCCGTGCAGCGGAATCTCCAGGACTCCATTCGAAGCAAGTCAAGATCCACTACATTCAGGAAAAGGAGATCTGTAGCCTTCCGATATCTGGTTCCGAAAGCGCACTGATGAATTGTGATCCTCGTGAGATTCTCTACAGCTCGATTGAGTGATGGGTCCTGCCAGAGCCTGGAGGTCTGCGGGTTCTCTAGGGCACAGGGAACCGAAAAACGCCTACAGGCCCTGATGACGGTAATACAGGCATCCAGACACCTATTACCTATATCGACCTTGAGACGGTCAACCGCAGAAAGATTCGGGAGACCACGAATGTGCACAGCATCGCGCACAGGGAAACGATTCCGTGCCACAGAGAAAGTTGAGCACGGAGGAGCCATCATCACAGCGGCCACTCGGCCTGTCGATATATGTCGGATTATCGTTCTCACATTCTGCTTTGAGGTGAGATCCTGACCAGGAGAGTTGCGCAAATCGAGGCTAACCGTTGGCATGCTCCACCGCCGTGCCGAGCGCCGAAGTCCGCCACCGCCTCCGAACAAATCCAGAAGGTAGCGGCCTGGCGCGTCTAGGAGGGCCTGGCACGCTTCGGTGCGGGGCCGGCCTCCCTCCGCGCCCGCGGCGGCAGCGGCGGGGCGGCGCCCTGAAGGAAAATGCCCTCCAGGGACCGCAGGCAGACTGCCACGTGGTCCTGATCCTCGCGACTGAGCTCGTTCCACGCCTGATTCACGCGCCCCGCCTTCTCGTAGCGGCGGGCGCTCTTCAGGGCCTGCCAGCGGCCCCGCTTCATCGCCTGCTCCTGGGTCCGCAGGCCCTAAGCGCGGTCCGCACTGGCCCCTGTGCGTCGGCCCTGGCACGGCACCGCCGCCCAGCCCAGGCGGGCGCAAGCCCTCCTGAAGACCGACACGTGCTCGCGGTAGGTCCAGCCCAGGAGGCGGTCCGATCCACGACGGCGGGAGAGCACGCGGTACACGCTGTCCATCCAGACGAACCCGCGGGAGTCGAGGGGGATGCTGTCGTCGCTCTCCCCTGTCTTGCTCCTCAGGTTCCCCTCCTGGGGGAACGGCAGCAGCGCCCAGCTCGCCACCCCGCCGGGGGCCGGCGGCAGGAAGGACCTCCGCGTGAGGCCCAGCATCTCCCCCGGCCGCAGGTAGCACTCCACCATCACCAGCGACAGGGCGGCGGCCAGGAGATATCCCACGCGGGCCATCTCCACGCAGATCGCGGCCCACATCCCGATCGTCAAGGGCCGCCTCGAGTGAGATGGCGACGCCTTGCACCATCCCTTCAGAGCCCGGAGAGAGCGAGGAAGATGGTCCGCTCCATGCCGCCCGTACTGAGTTCGATGGAAGATCACGCCCGCCAGAAGCTTCTCTCCCCTCCAGCTCTTGTGCCCGCTCTCGAACTCGTGGTTCATGAAGGACACCAGGGCGGCGTCGAGCTCCGCGGGGCGGTCCAGGATCGCGTCCGAGGAGTGGTGCCAGCTCAAGAACTCTTGGACGCGCTGGCGGAACTGGGCAGCAGCCGCCGGCGTCACCGACCTCGCCTCCAGCGGCGCGAGGCGGGACGAGAGCGGCCCGCCGTCCAGCAGCGCGGCGAGGGCCTGACGCACGTGGCCCTTCCCGCGCCGGCTCAGGCAGCGCCGTCGCGCCGCGGCGGCCGCCCTCTCCTCGGGGTCCGAGGAGTCGTCGCTCTCCTCGCTGGCGCCCGCGGCCTCGGCACCCCCGCGGGCGGGCGCGTCGGCCCGCGGGCCTGGCCCCGCCCCCGCTGGGAGCTCCTCCGCGCACCGCGCCAGAAAGGCCTCGGTGCTCTCCTCGACGCCAGCGCGCCCCCTCGGACTCGACACCTCCGAGCGCGACAGCAGACGGTCGCTCAGGGCCCGCTCCAGAGTCAAGGCGCGGATGCGAGCCGGCTCCGCCTCCGTCGTCGGTCTGGCCTCCGTGGCAGTCCAGCAGCGCCTGCGCGCAGGGGCCGACGGCCCTCGCGCCCTGGCTGGAGGACGGTCTGACATCTCTGCATTGCGTCGTCTCTGAGGTCGGCAACTGGTTGGAGCCAACATGTCTACTAAAGGGAGGACGAGGAGGGGAGAGGCACTGATCAACGCCACTGGGGCCTCCTTCGCCCTCGAGATGCACCTCTGGGCCCTTAATCAAGGGCCCCATGTGGGAAACGAGAGTCTTGTCGGCATTGTAAGACGCGTCGAAAACTCTGCTACCTTCGTCGCCCGAGTTAAACTCGCTGGGAACCCAACGGAAATACAGGCGGGCATTGCGAGCAAGAGACAAACTGAAAAGTCGCCTTAGTTGCCCAAGCACCCTGTAGTCCCTCGAACTATTCCGAGCGAAACGAAGAGTGATGGCAAGGTTGTCACCGAGTTAGAGCACTCGACAATTTTTCACCGAACGAATGCGAAGTGCGCGGGCCCCCGCTTTGACGACCGCCCGGCCTTCCAGGCGCAAGATGTCATCAGCGTGGAGCCAGCGATCAGCAAGGATGGTGTGCCAGCGATCCTTCGCCAGCAGGCTGCTGGGCACCTCGGGGAAGTCATCGTTGTGCTCCCAGCGCGCAGCCTCCAAGATCTCGCGCGCCTCCCTGTCGAGCCGCGCGGGCCGCCCCAAAAAGTCGCGCTCCACCTCGCCGCTCTCTGGGTCGACCTTGAAGCCGGCCACCTCGAAAGCGTGCTCACGGGCGCGGGCGCCGCCCAGGCGGTAGCGGCTGACCTCGGGCACGCGCCCAACCGCTGCGACGTCCGCGGTCAAACACAGGGGCTGCGACGCCCCGAAGCCGTGGAGGCTGGCGTCGCTAGCGTAAACGTAGGGCGTCCAGGGCTGCTCCCAGTCGGCCTCGATAAAGACCATCGCCCCCGCGAAGGCCACGAGCTCCTCTCGGGCGGAGGACCACAGCGGCTGGAACTTGCCGCAGGACTCCCGCACGAAGCGGTACACGACGTGGAAAATCGAAAGGAGCTCGCGACGCATGAGGCACAGGAAGGTGATGTGGCCCAGGACCGCCTCCAGCTGCCAGCCGGCGACTTTCTTGAGTCGCAGCAGGGCGCGCGCGCCCTGCCGCGCCAGACCGAAGCGCCGGCTGCCGGGGCGGGCCACCCGGCTGTCGCCGTCCAGGTGCCACCCCAGAGAACTCCCACCGTGCTCGAGGACCTCCATCTCGTGGAAGCGCAGCGCGTCGTGGTCGAAGTCCTGCTGCTGGGCCTCGGCGAGAGCCTGTCGGACCAGACCGCCATCGAAAGAAATGGCGCCAGCGTTGCCCACGTGCATGCAGTGGCCGGCCTGCTTCAGGACGCGGGAGCCGCCGAACACCAGGGAGGGCCCGCGGTCCGAGAGCTCCTGGCTCCGGGCCAGCGAAGGCTGACGTCCCAGACGAACTGAGTTAGCGGTCTGGGCAAAATGCAGTGACCACGAGAAACCCATCGTTAGGCTGGCGCACATCGGCCAGATCTCCTGGCCTGCCTCCAGCGGGACGCCGTCGAGCTCGGCGAGGCCTGCATGCCGCGCCGCCAGCGGTGGCCAGCAGAAGTAGCGGCGGATGTCGCCGCCCGCGGTCTTCGTCAACCTCATCCTGTCAAAGCAGTCGGCCACGTCGCCGACCCCCAGATGCAAAGGGAGCCCGTCCAGCAAACCCTCGGAGTCGTCGATCTCCACCCTGGCCAGCCCCTCGCCACTCAGGAGGGCGACGCCAGGGGGCTTGCGGAACAGCTGGTTGGCACGACGACAATCCACAATCAACCTGAGCTTGTCGGCCTTCTTGGTGACAAAGAACACGCCCAAAACACAGGCGGGATCACGAGTGAAGGTCACCGGGCCGATGTCCGCGGCCCTCCGCACAAGGCGGCCATAGGCGCGGGGATTCTTCTGCAGCACCGGGTCAGTATGGCAGCCCGGCACCCCTTCAAACTGACGAATTAGTTCCGACTCCTGCGCGGGCCGGAGCATGTGTTTCTCGAAATCCTCGAGCTGTATCCTCGCCTCCGAAGGCAGCATGGAGATGAGCGACGGCGCATTGTACAAGTCGCCAGGGAGCGAAACCTTCGAGTACTCGTAGGACCCGACACTGCATGAAAGCGACGGCGTATAGCCCGAGCGCCCCTTCAATAGCCTGGCCAAGGCTCCACGCCCGCTGACGGCGCTGTCAACGTCGCTCCAGCGGGCTGCCGCCTCAACAACGCGCTGCCGCACATCAGCCTGAAGGCCCAAAATCTTGCGCTCAGTCGCCGACGAGATCCTGTGGGGGATCGGGCGGTAGGCGCTACCATGCATCCAATTCAGCGCGTCGATCGCCGCCTCGATGTCACGAAGCAGCAGCCGGCGCCGCCCGCCTGTCACCTCCGGGGGAAGGCCCGCGGCTCGCAGCGGGGGCAACGGCAAGAACGCGCACGCCCTGCGGGGTCCTCGGGCGACGATCGGGCCGTCGTCGCCCTCTGGTGGCAGCGTCATGTTGCCGGCGGCCGCGAGCCGCGCCCACGACCGCCTCTACCGCGTCCTCGACCTCGACCCTCGGCTCCTCCAGCAGCATCTCCGTCGACCTGCGAAGGGGGCGCGCCCGCCAGCGTCGCCGCCGCCGTCGTGTCGGCCCCAGCATGGGCCGCGGCGCCGGGCTGCCGGGCGCGCGCGCGCAGGCTCTCCAGCTCCGCCTCCTCCTTGGCCTGCCGCGCCGCATACATGCGCATGTCCTCGGGCACCAGGTCCAGGGCCGAGGTGGTCGCGCTGAAGTGCTTCGCCGCGCTCCAGTTGGGTTTGTCGGCACCCTTCGCATACGCCTCCACGTACTGCAGCAGCCGGCGGGGCACCACCTCCAGCGCCGCGACGGCGCCCATGTTGAGCTGGTCGAAGGCGCCCGCCTGCCACAAGGCCTCGATCAGGCACTCGACCTCGTGCCGGGACCTGTCCTTCCTGGTGATGCCCACCTCGCGAGCCCACTCGGAGAACCATGCCTTCGGGTCCCCGCCGTGCTTGAAGAACTTCCTGCAGATGGCGAGGCACACGGGGGGCCCCTTGAGGCCAGCGGTCTGCAGGCTCTCCTGGGTCGCCTCGTGCAGGACCTTGCGCCACTCCTTGAAGCGGATCCCCGCGTCGTCGTAGTCGATCCAGCACGTGCGAAGATCGTCGCCCGGGCCCTCCTGCCCAGGGGGCGGCGGGCGGCCGAGGGCCGCCGGGCCAACAGGGGGAGGGCTGTCCCCGAGCAGGCGCTGCTCCAGAGCGCCCTCGCCTCCGCGGTTGCGGGCCGCGCCGCGCAGCTTCGCCTCCCGCCACTCGCCAGCGCCGCTGATCTCCACAAGCTCCGCGGGGTGGTGGTTCCCAGAGGCGTCCGTGACGATAGCGAAGCGCCCCCGCTGGCAGGCGTCCGAGCCCAGGAGCACCTCGGTGCCGAAGGCGAACTCCCCCGGGGGTGCGGCCAGGTCGCTGCTCAGCCAAGCGAAACCCTCGGGGGCCGATGGGGGGGGTGGCGGTGCCGCCCGCGGGCGGCGGCTCGGCAGGCGGCGGCAGCGGGAGCGCCGCGGGCTCCTGCTTCCCTCGCAGGCGGACCCGCGGGGCGTGCACCACCGAGTGCGGCGGCAGCGGCAGCCGCCGGCCCCGCCAGTCCACGGCCTCCGTGATGTCCTCCACCACGGCCCCTTCCAGCACCGCCGCCTCCGCGCGCGCCCGCTTGACCAGCTCCACCACCTCCTCGGGCTCCAGCGGCCTGCTGAAGGCCACCACCTGAGGCACACCGGCAGGGTAGCCCTTCCGCCCTGTGAGCAGGGCGCTGCTGCTGTAGTCCGAGAGGCTTTCCACATAGAGGTCGCCGCCCGGCGTGTAGACGAAGAAACCAGGCCCCTCCTCCTCCGTAGCCGTCGGCCAGAGGAAGAGGCGCTCGTGGGCCCAGCCCGGGTCTCAGGCGAAGGTCACCAGGCCCCGGGCACCTGGGAGAGGGTTCACGACCTCCTCGAACCTCGAGCGCCGTCCCAGTCGAATCATCACTTGATCTGCAGGCGGGTCTCCCCGAGCGGCAGCCGCTTGCGGGCCTCGCTAGCCCGCCTGGCGCAGCTGCGCCACGCGCAGACTCCTGCAGCGACCTCCAGCGCCGCCAGCAACGCGAGCAGCAGGCCGCTGGGCACCTCCACGGTCGAGCCCGCCACGCCCGTGCCCAGGACGCGGAAGCTCTCCGGCTCCGAGGCCGGGCAGGCGCACGGCGCGGCCGGCGCCACGAGCCAGCTGGTCGAGGTCCCAGCACTCGAAGAGGTGCTGGTCACGGTGGTGGTGGTGGTGCTGCTGGTCCAGAGAGAACCCACGAGACCGCCGGGGCACCCGTCGCCGCCCCACCAGTTCGCTGGATGCAAGAACACGCCAGTGAACAGAGCGAAGGTGATCGCGGCGGTGCTGGTGGTCCCAGCAATCATGCTAGGGCTTCTAGCTTGAGCAACATTACGGCGACAGACGAAAACCTGTTAGCAAACACCTGCGACGCAGAGACAGTTAACGACGATGACAACGACGACGATGTTAGCGACGTCAACGACGACAACGACGACGAGGTAAACGACGAGAACCACGACGACGAAATTACCGACGACAGCGACGACGCCGCCGCCGCCGCCGACGACGTCAACGAAGACGACGACGACAGGGTTGACGACGACAAAGACGACGACGTTAGCGACGACAACGACGACGACGTTAACGACGTCCACGACGACAACGACGGCGACGATGACGTCAACGACGACGATGACGACGACGTCAACGATGACAAAGACGACAACGACGTTAACGACGACGACAACGACGACGTCACCGACGACGACAACAACGACGACGACGTTAAGGACGACAACGACGACGACGACGACGACAACGACAACGATGACGACGTCAACGACGAAGACGACGACAACGCTGACGACGAAGACGACGACGTTAACAAGGAAAACGACAAAGACGACGAGGACGACGACGACACCGACGTCAAAGACGACGACGACGATGGCTGACGACGGCGAAGAACACGTCGTGGTCGCCGAACGTCATCGAAGACGACGACCTCCAACCAATCATGGGGCTCGTTCCGGCCAACATGTCGAAGCGGATCTGGCCGTGGGCCGTGGTCACGAGAGGGCACCCCTGGACGCAAGGTTCGGGCCAAAGACGCTCAAACACGACCCCCTCGACGTGGCCAGCGTCGTCGCGCACAGCGACGAACACGCTGACGACGCTGTCGTCGTGCTTGTCTTCGACGTCGCCGTCGGGGTCGTAGTCGTCGTCGTGGTTGTCGTCGTCGCCGCCGTCGCCGTCGTGTCCGCCGACGGCGTGGCCTCGGGCTGCGTGGCCGCCGCCGCCGCCGGGGGCGTCGCGGGCGGCCGCGCCTGGCGGCGACCGAGGCGGCGCCGCCGCCGCGTCGCCGCGCCAGAGGTCGTCGCTGCCACCGCCGTGGTCGACGACGTCGTCATCGAGACGTCGTCGTCGTCGTCGTCGATGCGTCTTCGTCTTCGTCGTCGTCCTCGTCGTCGACGTCGTCGTCGACGCCGTCATCGAGACGTCGTCGTCGTCGATGCGTCTTCGTCTTCGTCGTCGTCCTCGTCGTCATCGTCGTCATCGTCGTCCACGTCGTCCGCGCCGCAGCTCGCCGCAGCCCCTCCCGCGACCAGGGGCCGTACATGTCCACCACCTGGGCTCGCGTGTGCTTCCACTCGGGAAGGCACGCTGGGTGGCACAACCTGCGATGCAGCATGTGTCGGGCAGACTACGGTGGAGGTTTTAGATAAGGATGCCTTCGATAAGGAGCCCAGGGTCTCGCGACCGATGGGCGGCCAAACGTGGGCCACTCGCCTTGAAACAATAAGGAATGCGCCAGGGTCTGGGCCCCAGGAAAACGTTCCTTATCCAATGCCGCCGCCGTATGCGGATCAAGCTACGTGGTACAAGGAACGCGTAAAAACGCAACGTGCGGAGCGAAGTGATACAAATGAAAACTGGCCGCATCACGAAAGAAATGTCAACTCCACTGCTGGCGCAAACATCACACCCTCCCACCCGCAACATGTATTGGAAAACCAGTGCGGCCGCGATCAGGGTGACTGCTTGGCGCTGGCTGGCGAATCTCTGCGGCCGCGCTGCCGCGCACATCCCCGCGCGCAAATCGGCGAGCTGGTTGACACAACGGATGCGTCCGCGATGGCGCTTGCCGGTGGGAACTTCCCAAGGCGTTTCCGAGGCCGCGCTGGCGCGCGGCCGCTTCATTGCGGGTCGGTGGCTCGGGCGAGCGCGATGCCACGATGATGTCGAGAATCAATTCGTCTCCTGTCGGTTGCGCCACAGGTTGCGCCCTCGGCGGCCGAAAGTAAAATCGTTTCCTATCGGTTGTGCCATAGGTTGGGCCCTCGGCAACCGAGAAACAAAAACGTCTCCGATCGGTTGCGATATAAATTGTGCACTCGGCGGCCGAGAATAAAACCGTCGCGTACCCATTGCGCCATAGGTTGCGCCGCCCGCGGCCAAGAATAAAACCGTCGCGTATCGGTCGCGCTATAAAATGCGGACTTGGCGGCCGAAAATACAACCGTCTCGTATCGGTTGCGCCGTAGGTTGCGCCCTCGGCGGCCGAGACTAAAACCGTCTCCTATCGTTTGCGCCATAAGTTGCGCCCTCGGCGGCTGAAAATCAAACCGTGTCCTTTCGGTTGCGCCATAGGTTGCGCCCTCGGCAGGCGAGAATCAAGCCGTCCCCCATCGGTTGCGCCGTAAATAGCTAACTCGGCGGCCGAGAAGAAATTCGTCTCCGATCGGTTGCGCCATAAGTTGCGCCCTCGGCGGCTGAGAATAAAACCGTCGTCTCCTATGGGTTGCGCCATAGGTTGCGCCCTCGGCAGCCGAGAGCAAAACCGTCTCCTATCGGTTGTGCCATAGGTTGCGCCATCGGCGGCCGAGAATGAAAACGTCTCCTATCGATTACGCCATAATTTGCGCAGTCTGCGGCCGAGAATAAATCCGTCCGTATCGGTTAAATTGCGCCATTAGTTGCGCCCTCGGCGGCCGAGAATAAAACCGTTTTCGACCGGTTGCGCCACAGGTTGGCGGCCGATAGTAAAAACGTCGCGTATCGGTTGCGCCATAGAATAAATTCGTCTCCGATCGGTTGCGCCGCGAATCAATTCGTCTCCGATCGGTTGCGCCATAAATTGCGCCCTCGGCAGCTGTGATTTTTTCCATCTGCGGCCCCAGGGCGCGCAGCACGCCCGTCCAGCAAAGCCCGCCCCGCTCGCGGCCTCGAGCGCGAAGCCGACGAGGAGGCGGGGGGGCCATCGGCCGACGCCTCAGGCGTGGCCGCAACGCCCTGGGGAGCGGCGGCCGCCTGCCGCATCGCTCCGCTCCGCAGGCCTGCGAGAGGCCCAAGCCCGCCGCCCGAGAGGAGCTCCTCGAGGTGCTCCGTCTGGGCGAGCGCGCTGCGGATCGCCGCGGGGTCGCTCGGCAGGAAGTCCCGCGCGGCGGGGGAGGGCACCTCGAGAGCGGCTCCAAGCCTGCGGGGGAACTCCTCCGCCTCGGCCGCCGCCACAACCGCCGCCTCGCCGCGCCGCAAGGTGCGCAAGCCAGCGCCCCGAGCAGCGTCAGCTCCGCCAGCCGCCGGCGCCGCGCCCGCAGCCGCCGCGCCCGGTTCCGCCGCCGCCGCCGAGCCCACCCCACGAGGGGCCTTGCGCCGCCTCCGCCGCCGCGCACGGGGCATGGGGGCGTCGGCCCACTCGTCTCCGAGACTGTCCGCGTCGCCGTCCATGAGGTCGCCCGCGAACTCCGAGGGCTCCGCCGCGGCGCGCACCGCCGCAGGCACCTCCCCCGCCCGCTCGAAACCACCTTCACGTCCAGCACCGCGTCCTGCAGGGGGCTCCGCAGCAGCCGCGCCGCGCCCGCCCCCCAGCCGCCTCGCCTTCAAGGCAGCGCGCCGCCGACGGCGCCGCTCCGCCTTCTTGTCGCCGCCCGCCGCGGCACCGCCAGCAGCAGCAGGCTCGGCCATCCTCGACGCCATGGCGAATGCTACGGCGGAGATGGCCGAGCGCGTGACCGCGCCCGCGGTGCGCCGCGGCGCGCCTGCGTCGACCGCAGCACGGACGCCGGCAGCGTCGAGCACCGCGCCATCGGCCGCAGCCAGAGCCCATCTAGCCTCGCCGCGAGCAGCCATCACGGACGGCCGACCCTGGCAAGGCGCGCGATCGCTTGAGCCAAATGCATGAGCCAAAATGGCTTGAGCCAGAATGGCTTGAGCCAACATGGCTTGAGCCAAAATGGCTTGAGCCAAAATGGCTACGTAAACTCGGCAGCTGAGAATAAAACCGTCTTCTATCGGTTGCGCCATAGGTTGCGCCCTCGGCTGTCGAAAGTAAAACCGTCGCGCATCGGTTGCGCCATAGGTTGCGACCTTGGCGGCCGAGAATTTTTTCCTCAGCAGCCAAAGTGCGCGCAGCGCGCACGTCCAGCTCCTGCGTCGCAGGCCGCGCGGCAGCCCTGTTGGCAGCCTCTGGAGTCGCCGCAAACGGCGGCAACTCGACAGGGCAGAGCGGCGGCGTCGCAGCTGCGTCGCGGGCGGCAACTCAGTAGAAGTGGAGCCCGCCGCGACGCCGTCACACGAGTGGCCTCCCAGACGGCGCCACTCCCCTCATGATCTTCTCGGCCTTCCTCCTGCGCTCCGCCTGGGCGCTGGGCTTGAGCGCAGGGGCACAGGCCAAGCCGAGCCCCCTGTGCTTGCCCTTCACCTCCTTCGCGTACTGGAAACACTTCAGGCAGACTCGGTACCCGAAGTACGTGCGCAGGTCGTGGCCGCCACCGTCCGCGCCGAGCGCGCCAGAGCCGCTGGGCGGC